GTAACTCAATAAGATGTATTTCTAGTAATTTTGCATCTCTTAAAATCAACTAGTAATGCTAAATAAAGCTCCATCATTGCCCCTATTTGCTTTTAGTTGCAGCTGCATAATTTTACAGTTTAAAAGGTTGGTCAATAGAAGCTGACAAGAGAAATAAAACCCAAACCAATTTTATTTCATTTAGCATCTATTGATCATACTTTGAGCTGTTGAAGTCTTGCTTGCTGTAACCTCCCATAAAGTCATTTATACCTAGAAAAGAGTTAGAAATTGATATACAGGCAGAAGAAGATAACTAGGGAACTATTAATAGCCATTTATATCACATTTTTTCTCATTACTTTCCCTGGAATGTTAGTGAAGAGGTCTTATATGCTACAGGTTTATCCTTCTGGGAATTTTTTTCACACAGATTACTCAATTGATGCCAGAAAGAATCTGAGATACAAGGTTTCTTACTGCATCTTCTTAATATCCAGTATTATCTGGATTTTAGGGCCCCTCAAGAACCAAATGGATGGGACTTCTGCTTTCCATGGGAAATTTTTTTCTGTGTTGGATCTACTCACAGGTTATTTTTTGACAGTTAACCTACAGAACAGGGCTTATCAAAATGTAGTGTACATACAAATCATCCAGAGAGCGTGTTAAAGTGCACATTCTGTCTAGTAGGTCTGGGGTGAGGTCTGAGATTGCATGTCAACAAGCACCCAGGTGATGCTTTTGCTGCTTAAACAGGAAGAGCCCTTTGAGTAGCAAAGGTCTACAGCAGAGTTGTTCAATATGGTGTAGTCTTTTCGACATGGTGTAGTCAGTCCGGGGACTACCTTCATCTAAATTAGCTGGGGATGCTCATTAGAATGCAGATTCTTCATCCCCAACTTGTTTTTACAGAAACAAAATCTATGTAGGTAGCCTTTACGCCTAGGAAGAAGCATTTTGAAATAAGTGTTCCAGGTTATTCTTATATACATTTAATATAAAACAACAACTTTGCATCAAGCAGCTTATTGTTCTGTACTTTTCATGGGAGCCCAGAGAGGGTTGAGTAGGTATTGTTAGAATGGGTAAGTGGTAACGGTGGTTTGCCTTTCCTGAAAATTCTGTCTGGAGCTGTGGATTGTGAACATGTGCATGCTAGCATTTCATAAGGACCCCGACTACCTAGAATATGCTTGAGGGTTGAAAGAAGAAAAAACAAACAAACAAACAAAAACTCAGCCCTTATTCTTTATATCCTTCTCCTTAGATGACCTGCAAGGTTCTCTTTAAAAATTACTGGTCCTTACAATCTATGTAGCCCCAAAGATGCCTTGCTTTAGAGGATGATCTCACCTCAGAACAACTGAAAGATAATGAGCGCCTTCCTGTGGATGTTTCCCTCTCACTCCCCACCACCCTGCCTACCTAGCTCAACAGAGTCAGGGGGCTTTGGCTAGAAATAAATGGCAAAGGTTTATTCAAAGGCCTTAGGATTTGCCAATCAAAACCACAACTGGGCAATACTTGGTGTTCCTAAGGAGAAAGAAAAGTTTGAGGGTTTTTACAGTAACAACACACATTTGAAAAAAGTTAGTCCTGCATTCTTTCAGGATAGTAATCTTCCAGACATCAGGTGGTCTGGATAAGGTTGCCTGAAGTCATGAAGATAGTAAGTCGCAAGACCTGGTTTTGAATGATCTGATTTAAAGCCCATGTCGTCACACTTTTTTGGTTTTTATTATTTAAGAAGTTGTGCATGCATATCAAAGAAAACATTGTTATAGTGTTTACAGCAAGTTAACAGTGGTTAATTGTGACTTGAGTGGTGGGATTATAGGGTTTTTTTTTTCTTTCTCATTTTTGTTTATAAATTTTCATGTTTCCAAAATGAAAACGGATTATTTTTGTAATAAAATACCGTACGTACATTAAAATGGGCCTTTGGGGTTGGTTTCACCACTATCAAAAACAAAAGGCCTTCTCGGCATTTTTCTTTCTAAAAAGAATGAATCATTCCGTTTGTGTTGGCATGGTAAAACCTAGTTCTATATTTACTTTTTGCTTTTTTCACAGAAATTATTGTTTTAAGTTCCTTTCAACTTGACCAAGTTGCCAAAAATGCATTTTATTCACCTGTGTATTTTTAGGGCTAATGTGATGCCTGGAACACCAGACATCCAAAAAGGTTTCTATAACTAAAAGCAACTTTAAAATAGTAATGTTACCGATCGCCATGCCAGTTTTCTTTGCCCCTTTTCTTGCGTAGGAAATATCATGTGTTTGTTCCTAGTCTCTGCCATGGCCGAGCGAGTCTCCACTGCCCTTTATCGCCTACCATTAAAAGCAGTAGCCACTAAGTGTAAAAAATCAAAACAAAGCACTTTCCCATCTCTCTGATGGAGTAAAAGCAGTGAAGCCCAAATAATGCTTAGTTACCAAAAGCCACACCAGGTGTCTAATCGAAACGGTATTGATTTTAGCTAGTAAATAGCCCTTAATATAGTTGGAACCTGGGTTGCATATGCAGCCTGGTAATTAGCTAATAAAGCAAACAAGAGCTGCAGAGAACGCGGCACAGTTGGATAAGCAGCAGCCTGTCATCCAGGAAGCTTGCCTTGGTCTAATATCTCCTCATACAGGGGACTTAAGTTACTTTTAGGACTCCGTACCTAGTGTTTTCAGCCATTAATAAGGAAAAACTATAACCTTATCATAGGGTCTGAGATATAACTAACAGTAGTTGTAAATGTTTTACAAATATTACCTGCAATAGACATGCTTCCTGAAGACAGATGTTGCAATTTAATAATCTTAAGTGGGGAGGTTTAATAACTATTTTAGGTCATTAGGATAATGTTTAGTGCCTTAGGATAATTATTAAACAATTCTCAGTTTGCTAATTCACCTGATACTCCAGAGAAATCCACAGCCTGATTAATTCTCACATTATCTGCCAATTGCTCAGTGAAACTGCAAAGTGGCAGAGGCCAGTTGGGAACAAAAAGAAGAGCAAGAGTGAGAAAAGGACCATGTAAGCTAGAGATCACTTTGAGGAAGAAGGAAGTCAGGGATGGAGGGCGAGAGTGCTAAGGTATCAGCACAACAGGGTTAAGCTTCAGAGGATCTCAATCAGAGATGGTCAATTAGAGGCCTAGAGGTCAGCTTCAGCGTCCAAATGCATCCGAAGAGGCCTGCACAGAAGTTTTTTTGTTGCTGGGTTTTCTGTTTGTTTGTTTTTAAATTTGATTCTAATATTTTCTTAAATGGAAGAAAGCATTTTACATACAAAGTCAAGATTTCCAAGATCTTTTGAACACTCCAGGTATCTAATAACACTAGGTCTAATTCCCTCACAACAGTAATGGACAAGAACTCCATAAAGGTTGCCCCTTTTATGCTTTTCTAAAGATTTTGATTATGAACATCTTAAGGCTTATGAGAAAGTAGAAAAAATATCCATTTGCCTGCCTCTACATTCAACAATTGTTAATATTTTGTTATATTATTATAAAGTTAAATACCTATATCTATATAGTCATATTTTTGCTGAACCATATTAAAGTAGATATGTTACTTTACCCTTAAATACTTTTGCATACGCTTTTAAAAATAAGGACAGCTAGGGCCGGCTGAGTGGCTCAGTTGGTTAAGAGCTCGCTCAAGAGTGTGAGCTCTGAGCAACAGTGGCTCGAGTCCAGCCCGAGCTGAGCAGCCGCTGAGCTGCCAACAGGTAGCAGGATGGCTCAGCTTAAAAATAAATAAATAAATAAATAAATAAATAANCGAGCTGAGCAGCCGCTGAGCTGCCAACAGGTAGCAGGATGGCTCAGCTTAAAAATAAATAAATAAATAAATAAATAAATAAATAAACAAATAAATAAATATATATATATGTATCTATATATATAAAATAAAAATAAGGACAGTTTCCTACATAACTGCCATCTTATTTTCATACCAAACAAAACAAAAAACCAAAACAATAGTAATTCCCTCATGTCCCCTTACTCAGTCAACTTTCAAACTTCCCCATTGTCCCCCAAACGTCTTTTACACACATTTTATTTTCAAGCCAACATCCAATTAAAACACACTCACTGCATTTGGTTATGTCACATTAGTCACTTACACTCTAGATCAGACTCCCTGATCTCTCCTTTTCTTCTGTGGCATTGTCTTGCTGAAGTGGTCAGTTGTCTTGTGGATTAGAATTCATATCTAAAGACTTGATGAAGTCAGGTTAAACATTTGGGTCAAAGATAATTCAGAGGTCATGGTGCGGACTTTATATTACATCACATAAGGAAGCAGCTAATACCCGTTGTCTTGTAACACAAAGCTTCATCACTGGGTTAAGGTAGTGGGCTAACCTCTTTGGATGTGGTATGCTCTCTCCAATTTGTCACAGACCCCACCATTCCTTATTTGTTTTACACCTAGCTTAATCAACTATTTTCCCTTGCCTGGGCGGCGAATGTAAATGTTGACCTAAAGTCTATCACATGCTACAATTTGGGCTTTGTGATAAAAGCATATACCCCTGTATCCTTAGTACAACAGAATAGCACCTGGTACATAGGTGGTGCTAAACAAATATCCACTGATTGATTAAAGAACACCTCAGGTAGAAAAACCTGAAAGAAAGGAGGATGTGAGAAAAATTTGGGGAATCATGCTCTTGAACTCTGTGTAGTTCAGAGAACCCTTGTGCCCTAAGATATGCAGAACAGATGGAAGAAGCCCCTGGATCTGGGGAATGGTTCTTTATTTCAACTGGACAGAAATGTACTGTCCCAGGGAGAAGTCAAAACAAGGAGAAAGCATAAATTAAAAATTCTGGGAAACTCAAAGGTGTAGGTTACCTGGGCCTCCCATTTATGAAGGATCCTGTCACAGGTTCGGCTTTCTGGAAGCAGACAGAGTATGACATGCAGGTTATTATTAGATATTCTTGTGATAGGAGGAGCACAGACGGAGGATGGGGCAGAGGGAGAAATAGAATCATGATACAGGCCTAACAAAACCTCAGTCACCACCTGAGGGACTTCTGGGGCCACACACAGCCCATCAATCCCTGCTTCACTCAGCCACAGAGTAAGTACTTGTCAAGGAAAGGAATGACCTTGAATGAGGTAGCTCTCTGTAGTAAAGGGAAATTCTGAAGGAGCTGGAAGGTGGGTGCCACTTGCTGAAGGTGCTTCCAGCAGATGGCAAAATGAGTTCTGCTTGAAGGAAGATCTGAGGGGTCCAGCAATCTGTCTACCGAGACCCCAGTTTAAAATTTTGCTCTTAACTTTAATTGAAGCTATCTGGACAGTATTCCTTCTACTAAACATTAGTTGGCTAATTGTAGTATTTAAATTACAGTATAAATTTTTCAACCCTGTTTTGGCATTTCTTTACTTATCAGAAAGCTCAAAAAGTATATAAAATAAAATGACCCAGGCATTTTTCAAATTTTAGAAGGTTCTGATATTGCTTGAATGCCCTAGGGGGTAGAAAATTGAGCCCATTTACATGGTTGTAAATTGCTTTGGCATCTTGAATGAAAAATACCCTACACGGTGCCAATAATGTACTAAAGGGTTAGCTCTATAAAGACAGGTGGGCATTAGTGCCAAAGGAAAGTAGATGTAGGAAAATGTATCAGTTTTCTATTGCTGCTGTAACAAATTACTACAAAGTTGATGGTTAAAACAACAGAAATATATTCTTCCACAGTTCTGGAGGCCAGAAGTCCAAAATCAATATCACAGGTCCGAACTCAGGGGTCAGCAGGGCCTCCTGCCCTCCAGAGTATCTAGGGGAGAATCCATTACTTTCTTCTTCCAGCTTCTAATGGCCGCTGGCATTTCTCAGCTTGTGTCACCATTATTAGAATCTCTGTGTCCATGGTCACATTGTCTTTTACTATCTGCCTGTGTGAAATCTCTTATTCCTTCTCTCTTACAAGAATCCATGTGATTGCATTTAGGTCCTATTAAGATAACCTCTCCACCTCAAGCTGTTTAATTTAATCATATCTGCAAAGTACTTCTCTCCTCCTCCTGCTTCTCCTCCTCTATATAAGGTAACATTCACTGGTTCCAGGGAGGCTACTCTTCACCCTGCCAAAGATTAACTTTTGAGTCTTTGCTTTAGTTCCACAAGCCTAGGGACAATTTGCTTTTCACCTAGCCTAAGATCAGGAACATATGTAAGTCATGTCTAGGGTGAGCATAATGATAGAAAAGCTGGAATTTCACCCTGCTGGACTTTTTGACCCACGTTAGGAAAGCCATCTTTGTGAGTATAGGACTGTCTCCAAACCAGAGGAGAACCAGGTTGGCAGTGAAGAGCACATGCTCAGGAAAAACTGCCTTCCTCCGTACTTGACTATTGAAATGTATTTTTAGAACTCACATTACTCCACGCTTACTAGAAAAAAAAAATATTTTTAGATGCCCTGACACCAGTTTCTAGCTTCTTATCACATATCAAGTTGTCTCAGTTCTCAGAAACTTGGCCAGGGCTCAGAGTTAGGCAGGAAGGAAAGGAGATTATTTACAGCGTGGTCTAGAGAATATTAAAATATATACGTTCCACTAAATTGTCAAATTTTTCCTTGACGTAAGTTTGGTTGAACCATTTTCTCCTTCTGTTTTATTACACCCCCTGAAAGAGTTATTTGGAAAATAAATTTCAATATGATACTCAAAGATAACTGTCAAAGAGTCTGTGTATTTCTGTTGTTCATTTTTTGGCTTCACATAATGCTTTTGCTGATAGAGGAGGAATGAAGGAGATTAGCTTTTGAGGCCAAGGTATTTGCTGAGGAAACAGCACCTGTTACTCTCTGGCCTATGTGCCCTGTGTGTAAAGTGTCTTCCTCTTGGCTTGGAAGAAATTAGGTCAATGCCTACAAGTTTCAAGGCTGCTGAATTAACAACATTCTCATTTTCAAGCTAATCATGCACAGACATAACCCCTGTCCATGGCTATTGTTGTTCTAGTTTCGTTATTCAGATTCATTTATTTAAAAAAGAAAACCATATTAGAACATGACAAACAGTGGTCAAGTTTATTTTAAGCATTTACTGCTGAGATTCAAGTCATCCCCAAGTTATGTAACAGGTGTCCTGATGTGGAGCTGAACAAATCTCCAGTTTCTCAGACTGTTTACTCTTGGCTCAGTTGCCTCTTTTACTGAATCAGAACCTCGTTTACTCTGAAGAACCCCATTTCTCCATTTTGCTTTGGTTCTGAGACCTAATACTTAATTCATGTTCTCTGCATGAGTTTGGTGGGACATTTCTGCTTACCGACAGCCTTCGTGCTGCTATTAAACAGGAGGCGATCTTCCAGAGACAACATTAGTCAATTGACATCATCAGCACTTGCTGAAGCTTGTTTTCAGTGCTGCCCTGTCTTAGGAACAAAGTGGATGCCTGCCTAGGGAAAAAGTTCATATTTCCTTTGCCCTCAAGACCTTTAAATCTAAATAAGTTTCTTCGTGCCACTTTGTATCGATGCCTTAAAAATTTATTTTAAAAACACTTTCACAGATTCTTATAAAGCAGAAATAAAAGTTAAAGTACCCATTAAAATATATTTAGTGTTTTTATTCATCTTTTCAAAGATCATATATTTTCACCTCGTTCTTGATCCTAACTCTTTGCGGGTCACTGATGTGGGAAGATTTCCTTGGTTATTTTTAGACGTCTATAATTTTGCTGTTAAGAATTCAAATAACAAGTAGGTGGAGACCTACCAAATGGGCTGTTCTAATCTCAAAGCCCCAAAAGTCATTGGTTCAGGCCTGCTCAAGGATCTAAGGTTTTCCTGGATAGCACTGTAAATCTTTTATAAACTCTATACTATTTTTTTCTCTTTGTAAGTAGTAAACTTGTAGTCTTTGTTTAATTTCTGGTTATTTTCTTAGTGCTCACAACTATTGTTAACAATGAATAAGATTACAGGAGCATAAAGTACTTAAATTGTGTAAACTACTGAAGTGCACCAGAGTAAAAATATATAAAGTAAGAAATATGTGAACATACACAGCAATTAGGGCTCAGAACAAAGATGTCTTGGCTCGATATCGGACCAAGAGTCAGAGTGTCTGGGATTTAGGGAAGGAAATTGACATTGGTGGTACTTTTATTGACAATCTACATGTCAGGCATTTCACGTATATTATCCCATTCAATCCTAGTTCGGTCATTGGCTAGTTGTGTTACCTTAGGTATATTCTTTAACAATTTTGAACCTCAACTTACCCATTTGTGAAAACAAAACAAAAACCTCCCAAAAAACTCAAAGATTTGCTTGAGGGTAAAGATTACATGTGCCTTGTTAAAACTAGTGCCTGGCAGACTAAACGCTATGTGAATGTTCACTAGTAACATCCTCACCAATGAGGAAACTGAGGCTCGGGGAGGCTAGAGACCCAGGTCCAGAGTAAAGAACTTAGAAAGAGGATGGATTTGAAGTCCACACACTGCTCTTTCTACCAAGTAGTTTCTCATTTTGGTCTTGGCTATATGTTTAGCTCACTAAATCACCTTAGATAAGGTACTTGATACCTCTGGGCATTGATTTCATGAGTTGTAAAACAAAAATGTGGGCATTAATAACATTTACCACCCCTTTTAATCCTTATATTACATAAATTTTATAATGAGTTTTGATGACTAATGAACACGGGGGAAATTTGTTTCTCTCTTGTGGACCAAAAAAAGGTTCTATGGAAAGTAACCTCACAGGGTGATTTGATCATAAATACCTAACTGAGCAGGTCAGGGTGGGTGGTCACACTCCAGGCATATACCTTCTTTAGTGAAAGGCTTATCTTTGTGGTAAGCAAGCCCTGTCCATTGTTTCTGTGCATCTAGATTAAAACACCTTTGAAATGCCTCTTTTCAGACCCCTCAGAAGGGAAACCAGTCTCAAAACAGCATATAATCTTGTTAACTATCCTTTAATCCAATCATTGTCTTGCTTTCTACTACTTTCATATCATCATCCTTATGCTCCCTTCTTAATTCCAAATGAAAAAAAGAAGCTGCAACTGCCTTTGTAAGAAACATTTTCTCAGCCTGCTGAGATCTTGCTTCTCGAGATGTCCTCTGGCTCAAACAAATTTTTATAAAAATTCTCTACAGGTTTGGACATTTTATATTGACACTAGAAATGGGCAGGACCGAAAACAGTTGGCCCTTGGCATGTGGTGGATGGTTATAAAACGTGCTTGGTAGAATCACCAGTAGGAGGTTCCTTCATGTTGGGGAAAGTTCACCCCCAGAAGTTGGGTTTCAGATCTCTTAGCTAGGTACCTACTCTCCAGGCTTGGGAAGAGAAGAACTTCTCAGTCATTTTGCTACATTAGACTGTAAAAGATAACTTAAGGTCACTTGACAATACTATAAAAGCAAGATAAATTAATCGTGGGCAAACCTAGGTTTTGGTAAAATAGGAACTAATGGAAAGAAGAAAGCTTTTTTAGATTTTGGTGGTCATGTGAGGCTGAAAACCCATGACAGCCCTGAAGTTTTCTTAGGCAAATGAGAAAAGTGTTAGGTGGCACCAAAGTTATTTGACACTCTCAAACTGAAAGACAGTAAACATAGTTTCATTCCAAATGCTGAATCATGCTTATGGTGACAAGGAGAAGCACTTAAGACTCTAACTTTTCTGAAGTACTGGTCTTCAGTAGGTTGCTTCTGCTGAAATAATTACTTCAAGTTTTTAAATTGGGTTATGGTAAGTGCTTCTGCTCCTCCACTCACACCCAGTTTTCCTTGTTTTTATCCTTCAACCTGTTTATTTGTTTGGTTTTGTTTCAATTTCATGAGCAAAGAGAAGCTGTAGCAAGTGTATATGTGTGTATAGGAAAGGTTTTTAATATAGTTTGCAGATCTAGTGTAATACTTAATTCTGCAGAATAGTTCCAAAACTAAAGATTATTCCCTTCCTCCCCACAACATTATGTTAAAAATGAGAAGAAATTGCCTAGGCCTATGAAAAATTATGCTCCTGTTGGATACCCCAGTCAGTAACCAAACTATTTTCGGGGAATTCTTGTCAGAATAAGCAAGGTACAGGGGCAGAAATAGAGAGGTACAAGGCTATTTTAGGTACTCATAAGACAGGTTAGTTAGTACAATAGCAGGCAGTTAAGAATTCTCTGGTAGACTGAACAAAGATAAGATAAAAACACTGGTCATTCCTTAAACTAGTCATTCTTTTCAAAATTATAGAGTAACTCTCTCATACTGAAATGGAGACATCAGTCATACCCCAGAGCAACAAACCCATTTTGGAGGACATTACCAAAGGCCTCCCCAAGGCTCGGCAACAGAACAAACCTGATAAACCCCTTAATAACAGGCACCAGTATTTTAGCATTCTCCTTTCCAGGCAGAAAAAAAGCATAAAACTCAAGCCTTTTACCCTAGCTAGTGGGCATCCCATTTTCCGGGTACCCCCTCCCTCTCTGGAGCTGTAACCTTTCTCTTGCTTTAATAAAATTATCCTCTGCTACAAACTTTACCTCTCTGGTCCATGTCTCCATTCTTCGGCTTCACGAGACTATGACCCTGGCACAAGAAATATGCTACATCATTTGGGGGCTCGCCCGGGACCAAAGGAGAGGTAAATGTAATCTATGCTTTTCTATTTGCTTTGCCCACTCGTGGGCCTTCATCTATATTTTTCTGTCACACAAACATTGGGCCTCCGACAACCAGGTAAAGGCGACTAGTGTGGCTGCCAATCTTAAGACTCCGAGGACAGGCTTTGCAGAAAGGCTCTGATCAATCCCCTCTGGTGCTAAGCTGGAGGAATGTTAGTCTTAGCCTGACTGCCTTCTCTCTTGTAAGGAGGAAGCCAAGGACTGCGTGAGGTTGAGGCGAAGGATTCTTGATGGCAACCAAGGGGTTCCGGCTGCAGCAACTCTGCAGTGAACCCTGAAGGCCCCCTGAGTCCTCCCTTGATCCGACTGCCCATAGGGGTGCCATCCAGAGGCTCTTCTCCTCTCAGCTGCTCTCTCCTATCTCTCTGTAGCCTCTTCTTTTCCGCGAGGAGATTGAATACTGGCGCGTGGCTGAGTTGCAGGTCTTTGTGGGCAACTGAGGAGTCTCAGCTGCGGCAACTCTGCAGTTGACACCCGAAGGCCCCACTGGTCTCTTCCTAGCCCGATCGCCCATAAGGGTGCTAGCTGAACGTCTCCCCAACCCTTACTGCTTTATTTCATGCTTCTACTATCTCTCCCCAGCCTCTGAGATGCTGGTCCAGGGTCCCCTCCTTGTAAGACCTCCTCAGCACACACTCCACGCCAGCTTCAAGACATCTTAAGGTAAAAACATGGAGCTTTGTCTCTACAGAACACCCCTTGTCACTCAGGATAAGATCTTCTGGTATTTAGCCTACCCTCTCTTAGCATCTATTGGGATCTCCTTTTAGTTCTAAAGCACAGATGGAAATGTTCTGAATTTCCCACTCTACATCTCTGCTGTTTTTGTGCTCTCTCCTAGTGTTATCTGTACTCCAATGACTGTTTAGTAGCCCCAGTCATCGAGGGCTCCACTCTGGAGGTCCTGAATATTTTGCCACCTTCCTTTTGCACCTGTGCTATTGCAAGCCACCAGGCAGAGTTCTAGGAGGAAGCCGCCTATTCCAGACTCACTTTACCTTAAGGAAGAGGTCTTATCTGAAGTCTTTTGGGGCTTCTAATATCTCTACGTACTCCCCCCTACAACTCCGGCATTGTGACCCCCTTCTGCACCCCTTCACTTACACCATGTACCTTCCCTACAAACTTTGAGTATATACTCCCTCCTTAAACATCTTTATACGGATAGCCACCATTACATTGACTGCGCCATCAATTTCAAAGACACCCAAAGTCGGGCTATACACCCCTCTACTTTAAAACACCTCATAAACACCTTATTGGCTACTGCCTTTATCGGCCCACAAACCAGTGCCAGGCATTTAGGCAGGGACCGCAGGCACTCACTCAGGAACATAGGTGGAGCTTAGGTAGCACGGAAATCCCTAACACACTATGTCCCCCCACCCAGCCTTGGAACCGGCCACGAGGTTTCCCTGGCTCCACAGAGGCCTGGAGGAGGCTCCAGATAGGTTACTGGGAGGTGAATTGCAAAGGGACGCCTTTCTTTCTCCCTCCCCCACAGATGAGCAATCGGTCCTCACGCACCTTCACCCCGCCCCCTGAACTGCATCCTGAAACACTGGGACAAATTTGACCCTCAAACCCTGAAGAAGCGACGCCTGGACTTCTTTTGCTCAGAATGGCCTCAATACATGTTGGAAGATGGGGAAACCTGGCCTTCTGAGGGAAGTATCAATCACAATACTACCATGCAGTTGGACCGGTTTTGCAGACTGGAAGGCAAATGGTCAGATATTCCCTACGTTCAGGGTTTTTTGCCCTAAGGGACATTCCAGACCTCTGTAAAAAATGTAAGGTTGACCCAGCCCTCCTGGCTGTAACCTCTTGCCACCCTCCTCATAGGGAAACTCCTCCTAAGGAA